CATTTGTAAAAGAGCTGATTAATGCAAACTAGACTCTCTTGCCAGTGACATTCAATTACAATACAATATTGACTAAGCCTTTGACTATTTTATTAATTATATAGTATTTACCTGTGAAATAATTTACCACAGTCATGTGACACAATGTTTATCTGTGTAAGTAAGATCAAAAGTGCTGCAGTATGTTCCCTTTAAGCTTTTCACATACCCCTGTTGCTATTTATATACAGTTTTTTTTTTTTACCTATGACAGCGATGTGAGATTACACGTCAAACTTGTATGAGCCTGGCTTCCATTTCAGCTTTATAACTATGCTACAAAGATAAAATGTGACAGCAGGATCCTTTTGGGTTCTTAATCCATAGAGCTGAGGATGAAATCTTGTTTAAAAATCTGGTACGGTGAAGTCCGTGCTTCGATAAGAACGTACAACTCGGCAAGTTCTTCCTCGAGATGTTACAGCTGTGTACAACTGCAGGCAAAATTAATAAAAACACCTCCTGGCAGGTTGACCCCAGAGGAACGACACATCCCGCATTTCAATTAAAGCATAATCTCAGAATCTGATGGTTGCGGTGATGGTTTGTCTCATAATTTTCTGTCTAGTAAAACATGAAATGCTGGTTTCAACAAGAGAAACTTTGTTTCGAATAATTTTTTTAATGAACAAACTATCCTGATATTGAGATCCTAAGGAAAAAAAATTTTATAGATAAAGAGAAATGTTTTGCACATAATTGCTTGAATATGTCCTGCAAGACAATTCTGTAATATTTAACGTTTTTCTTCTTTTAGTATTCACATTCACACTGCGGTGTCATTGGTAGTCACTGTATCACATTGCTGCTCATTTGCATAAAGTTGAGCTCTGTTGCATCACCATTGGTCTCTGTCACATGTGTCATAAGAGATCTCTCACTGAAAAGAAAAATTGCAGATCACTTTGTCGATGCAAATCACTGTCATTGTGAACACCCCTTTAGTATCACCTGTAAAAACTTTGATTCTGCACGTAAAATAAGGCCTAATTAAATTGTATTCACAGTTAATGATGCAACTAGATGCAAGCTCAGGGTCAGGTGATCCGATTAAAAGTGATCAGTCAAGATAGATGGCCATGCATGTTCTCTAATTAACTGAGTTCCTATCATTTTGGACCCCAATTACGTATTTTGCACTTGTGATTAGATCACCTGAGGCTGATGTTTCTTCTAAACTGCACTTCTGATGTTGTACAGAATAAACAATATTGCAGAAGGCAGACTAAAAAAAAAAATCTGTTTCTTCAATTAGAGCTGAATGAATGGACAGCATTCATCTGGAGTCTATCCACATGCCCATTGATTTTCAATATGCTGAAGCTGTGAGAAATATTGCACAGAAATATTTAGAGCTAATTAATACACAAGACAAGGATGGCTTCATAGAACAAGTTCAAGTTTGTTTCCAAACATATGGAATCCCCCAGAGGTAATGCATTATAATTTTTTCTGTCTGGTTTTCATGAGATCTGGATTTTATTTTCTTGTTAAAAGTTTTGACAAACCAAGTTACAGTATGTAGCCTTTCCCTTGAGAAACAATACAGTGATGCATGGCCTCTAAATAACTTGACAATATTAAATAACTAGCATCCTGTTTGATCAACAGCAAACCTACTGTAAGTATTTGTAACACGTAGTATGCATGAGTTCAGGTCAATTCAGGCCACTTTTTAGTCACAGAATTGCAAAAAAATTTGCCCAAATCTGTCGCGCCAATATCCTTGTGAGCAGTATGCCGACATATAATGCCATTGCGCTTTGGGCGTCCCGATTTCGAGTCCCAGCTCATGGATCTTTCCTAATCCTGTCCCCCCTCTCCCACTTCGCTTCCGGTCTAATACTGTCCTGTTACAAAAAAAGCAAAAAAATAAAAAAGACCTGAATCTGTGAATTCAGCCAAAATATACTGCTTTTAGTTACTCTACAAAGTGAAACATTCTCAAAGAGGAGGATTTTTATAAATATTCATACATACAGGAAAAAATTACAGACAAATGTTAATACAGTTCTAGGTGGATATCCAGATATATAGCTTTTAATGTGCCTCTCTCTCTGCAGGATGGTTTACAGGATAGTTGCAGCCTGGGTTTGTTACTTGAGCCGAGAATGAACATTTTACATTTGGATATTTGTATTCGGACAATCTCATTATCGTAGCGCCAGCCATTTCCATTTGATTGCGGCATAAAACCAGCCCTCAGTACCTGAGCCACTGATTTACAGGTAGCCAAACAATGCAGGAGTCACATGTCTAAGGTTGAAGGGAGATTATTTAATCAAACAGCATGCGGTGTTACGCGCATGATTAAAGTCACGGCATACATGGTGGGAGATGCATACTTAGTTCAGTGCTAACAAGAAAAAGAGTGACATGTTTCATAGAATATTATTGTGTGGTATGATTGACTATGCTAAACTATCTAACAGGAAGTAGGCCAAATGGGAGTTTTATGAGTGTTCCCGAGTTTATATCTTGCACTGATAATCATGTTTAAGATGCATTTGATTCTTGTGATGTCGGCGTGACAGTCAATCTCCACTTTGATAGGGTGAATTATTGTTATTAATAGTATTAGAAGACACATCTGATTGAATCCGTCTTCTAGGCTGATTGAAGATTTGTAGACTGGAAAACATAATCTTTAAGATATTTAGAATCTTCATTAAAGATCTATTGTGCGTTTTAAGTTATTTACTTTCCAAAGAAGCTTCCTTGTGCTTTTATTCTCTCAGTATCTCAGTTTCTAATTTTTCTCCTTTGGGTTCTAATTATTGTTGGATAAAAACCTTTTTCGTATGCCACAGTGGCAACACTACGTCTGTGTTTCTTCTCCCAGGGTAGAGGAATTGCAAGACACATTCATTCCCAATCCAGACGTAGTGTCTGCATCCCATGGTATTCCAGTTCTCCAATTTGGGAGTTCAGAGTGTACGTGTTTTTTTGCCAGGTGTAGTGTTAAAATGCATTAATGCTAAAGCCAAATGCAAAATTCTGTAAAAAGAACCAAAAACACCCACGTGGTGATTGCACAGCTCAAAGGCATCTCTTGTACAACAGCTTTTGAACAGTTCAATTAATTATTATTATTATTTTTTATTTTTTTGTTTGTTAGTAATGCTTGCAAACCTTTAACCTAAGTATTACACTTCAGCACGTAACTTGCTCTCAAATTGTGCAGTTTATTGTGTGTTTTGCGCGGACATCCTTTAAAAGTCAACGTAAAATACAAAGTGTCCCTTTTTACTCTGTTATTAAAAATGTTGGTGGTCTTATGCATTATTCATTAGTGCATGCAATTCCAAGAAGAAGTATATTTGTCAGCTTAATCTTAATCAAAATATAAAATCTTGCTTCGCCTCTAAAAACATTTTTGATCTCTTAGACTGAAAATAAAAGCTATTTAGGCATTGTTTTAGCAAATTTACATTGACTTTTCAAAATCAAATTAATTCTACATGAATAAAATCAAGTCCATTTTGTTTCTTGTTTGTCCTATTTCACATAGAAATATGTCATGTAACAAAAGTAAATGGACTATGAATGCTTTTTTATGCTGATTTTTTTTAAATAAACTGATGTTCCTCTTCTAGCATTACAATTCTGAAAAGCAGTCTTACCTCAAACTTGCTTCATCTTTTGAGCCAATATTGTTTTGTCAAAGGGTTGGCGGTTCTCAAAAAAGCAGAGAAATGGTCTAAAAAGCCAAATAGTCCATGTTAATGCAGGAATCAACCTACACATGGTGTATTCATGGTTATCTTTTTGGATATTAAACTGGGTTAGAAGTAGGTCTATTTTAACCTCAAAAACTTTAGAGTTCACCTTACACTTATTGGCGTTGATGGTTTCACAAAGAACCTTTAACATCCATGGAGACTTTCCATTGCACAAAAGGTTCTTTTTAGTGAAAGAAGGTTCTTAAGATGATTTAAAATGCTCTTGGTTCTTTTCAGAAATATTCTATGGTGAAACTAGTCCTTCTATCACCACAAAATGCACAATTTGCAACCTTTTTTTTTTAAATACACAAACACATGTATTTCACTTTTGCTATTGTGCTGTTATAGATTCAGCAGGCTGCTACTGTACAGTTGCTTGCGAAACGCATTGTGCTACAGTCTTCTTTGATTTTGTTTACTTTTTTTCTGAAATTACCTTCATACACTTTAATGCTCACACATACAGTACAATCCTCCTTCTCAAATACACTTGAGATTATTTGTTTTAGCCCACTAGACAACTCCCTTCTCAGATCATTCCATTGCTCAGATGAAAGGCACTTGTCTCTTCTGATTATCTTCAAGCCTGCAAAAATGGGGTGTGGGGCTGAAAAGAGGAAAGGGATGGAAAGAGAGAGAAAGTGAAAAGAATGAGTAATGCTTCGGAAAGCCTGAAATTAAACTGCTTAATTATGCATCCTTCATACATTAATCTTTCATGATTTGGGAACTAACATTTTCAATTATACAACGCTTCCAAACACTGGAAAAACTGGAATATAAGAGATGGCTGGAAAAAGATATGAAACGCAAAGAGACAGAATTCACATCCTGAGAAAGACGATAAGCTGGAGGAATTTCATATTCTTCTCTATCGTCATTGTTATTGCTCTTATTGTTGTCAAACGACTTCCTTCCTCTGGCTTTCCCGTTCTGTCGCTCGCTCTCCGCATTGTCATTAACAGTGTAATGGCACGTGATGTTTTGGGCTGTTTGCTGGATATAATTACCTGATGAAATGTTAATGTTCAGTGGCGGAAGGCGTAGCAGGGAATAGAGTGAACTAAATGGGCTAAAGAGATCTCTGACCATGATCCGCTGAAGTGCAACAGTGCGAAACAGGTGAATCCGGGTGTGATTGTGTGGGTGTTTGCTGCTCATTGGGTTTGGTTGCCCTGATCTTTACATTAACCACCCTGCTAGGCAAGCAACGTGATCTCCTGTACAGCCTGCTCAGCATATGATGCCATCGAAGTTGACTGATTATGATACTACAAAGGTCACCAAATGGATTGCGTACTTGTAGGGTGTGTATGAAAGATGCACTTATATAAACCTGTCTGTTTTTGATAAGCCGAAAATTTGTTTCATGGGTGACACATTACAGAAAGATGTAATTTGTTAACATTAGTTAACTACACTAGTAAACATAATCAATGAAAATGACTTCTCCAGCATTTGTTAATCTTAATTATAATAAAATGAAGTAAATATTGAAATGAACACATAATAAATATACACAGTACACACATATAGTATGTAAACATAAACTTTTATTTTGAATGCAATTAATGGCGATACATTTTTATGTTTGACAATTTTTATGTTAAATTTTAATTTTTAATGTTTTGCGTCCCTGGAATGATTTTTTTTTAATCGTTCTGTTAAGTTAATGCACTTTGAACAAACTGAAATGAGCAAACAATGAAGACTTGTATTGTTTATTAACCAACATAAACTATGAGAAATAGATTTTTTTTACAGTATTTATTAATATTTCTTCATCCAAGTTAGCTAATGCATTAATAATGTTAATGAATATTAGCTATTTATTAGTAAAATAATTACATGAAACTGGTAACATGTAACAATAAGGTTATTGTTAAGTTGTTACCAGTTTATTGTATTTGTTTTACTGATAAATGGCTGTTTTTATTTTATTTTATTTTAAAATAACAAATAATAAAACAATACAGCTCTGTAGTCAATACATTTGTGCTACATGTGAGTTTAGGCATTCGCAGCATAATGTGCAATATAAAAAATGTATATAAATTTTTATTTTTCTAAAGATTACATTTAACAGTGTTATTTAATTATTAGTTACTAATTGTTTTTTCAGCGAGTATTACATAAGTGAACATTACATTACATTGTACTTTAAATATAAAAATAGAGGAAACAAGCATGTAGAATTAATATTGACTACTAAATATTTTTTGTTTGTTCATGTATATTCTATTATTTATTTATATCTTATAAACAATAACCAAAATGGTTTGACGAACACCAGTTTCTTTCTTTATGGATTTCATTTGGATTGTCAGTCATAAACCACATAGGTTGCATCAGTATTTTTGGTTTAATTTTCTGGAAGTGAAAGACAGTCCATTTTATTTTTGTAAATTTGTACGGTTCAGGAGCATCTTAACGTTATCAGACATTGCCCCGAAACTCCAATTTTGATTTAAAGGGACTTTTAAAAGGTAATTTCATTCACAACAGTATAGAAGTCATCCTCATTATGGACATTTGTGAGCGATTTTCTATTCTTGCACATCTCAGCAGCTCACCGTGTCATCTGCAGATCGAGTCTCATGAAGCATGCAATCAATAAGACACCACAAGCAGCAGGGTAAACAATTCCTGAAGTCTGGCAGCAGTGGATTGACTTCATTAGTGACGGCCTCCTTCCGAGATACGCCCGGTGCCTCTTGGAGATGGGCTCCGTGTTGACCCGGTGTCAAGTCCGTGCTGCAGGAGGGCATTCCGTCCGCTCCGCCAGGGCAGCGTGGGGTTTCACAGCACGCCTGCTTCCGGATCGCTCCAGAACAAAGAACCTGACTGGGGCCAAGACCTGCCGCCACTCCTCTGAGCTCGTGCCACAAGCAAACATACACAATCGCACAACCGCACACTGTTGAACACACCCTCAGACATATACACAGGACGACGGCGGCTCTCTTGGGGCCCTTTTGGCCCAGCATATGACGGTTCCCAACAATAGCCTTCAGCAGATGCCCGCGGTCCAGAGCCAAACAGATGGGAGGACCGGAGTGGATTTGGACAGGCGAAGCGGTCGCCCGCAGCGCCAGCTTAAGACCCGAGGCTGTCACAGGAGTGTATGGAGATAAATGAACATGGTGGGGGGCAAAACAGAGGGCAGTGCCAGGGTCCAGGAACAGCTTGCAGAGGGACAGGCTTGAAAGAGGCAAGGCACATGCATAGGAGACCAAGGGCGAGCTGGATGCCCACCAAGACTAATCCTCCACCTGAGGGCAGGGAGATGGTTGTGCCTGAGGCGAGAGAAAACATGAGTGGACGACATGCTGGAAAATTAGACTTGGAGGCCTTTATTGGGTGCATGGGAAACTATGAACTACTGAAATGAAGCAATACTTACAATGCATGAGCTTGGTAACTAGCCTTGATCTTTATGTTGTCCATCCCACTGTGAGAGTTACGTGACTTGCTTACAACCACCTGCTTGACTGCGCACAGAGGGATTTTACATAGACTGTGATAACGATGTAACAAAGGTCAATAAATTCATTGAATATATGCAGTATGTGTTCTTAAAGATTCCATGAATGGTTCAGAGCATGCAATACAGTGCAACTGGTGGCTATCAGAAGTAAAAAATGTTTATTTTTAAATGTATTTTTAATGGTACTGTATAAACTGTTCAAGATAGACCTACCATGAGCTTTGAGGTTTTTGATTAAAGGGGTCCTATTATGCTTTTTCACTTTTTCAACTTTAGTTAGTCTGTAATGTTGCTGTTTGAGCATAAAAAAGATCTGCAAAGCTACAAAGCTCAAAGTCCAATTCAAAAGGAGAGCTTTTATTTAACAGAAATCCCTTTTCAAAAACTACAATGAACGACTCGTTTGGACTACAATGCATATTTTCCGGGATTTGTGATATCACAAATATCTATGAATGGGAGGAGACCTGGTTGAGCTGCACTAGAGAAGGCAACAAGTGTTATCACTAAGACGGAGACACGCTAGCTTTCCCAAGGCAGACGAACTTCGAGTGGTTACCATCATCAGGGTTTAAATCGCGCTCAAATTGATTTGATTTTGACGCAATATTTACACTGAAGCTCGCAGCAGGCGGCTATGGTAAGGGGCGTGACACTTCCCTACCAGGCGCCAAGTGGTGCCAATCACAACACACACTAGCCCAGTTAACCAATCACAGCACATTTCGTATTTCAGAAGGCGGGCCTTCATTTGATACAGGAACTATTCGAGTCGTTCATGCCAGACTGGGGAGAGAGGTGTTGTAATAATGTAAAATATGTGAAAAAATTATGTTTTTCGAACAACCTAGTATGAGAGTCTGTTCTAGTACACCCCCAAAACAAAATCAAGACTTATTAAAAGAGCATAATAGGACCCCTTTAAGGTGATGCATGCTTTTGTTGAAGCTATCTCATTTTCTGCTCATGTCTTCTGGACTAGGAATGATGTTAGCCACAATCCAACCAATTTCTGATACATATATTAGCTAAAAATCTACTAAATCAATTTGGTCAGTCCCCACACTCAAAATTGTTAAACATTTATATGTGTGTGTATTATTTAGCAGTTAATTTAAAATGGCTCATAAGCGAAAGGCTATGCATTGACATTTTTATATTGCACCTATGTTTTTGATTAAATTATGTAATCCGCAGTGCTTCATGCACAGAAAAAAAATTGTGTAGAATTTTTTTTTTAAATTGCTAGTAAATTTCACAAGTACAATGAAACGGCAAGTAACATTAAATTAATCTTTAAATTCTGAAATAGAAAAAAATTAAAATTGTATTTTCTTGTATAACAAACTCCAGGAATCCTTGTTTAATTTAAAATAAAAAATCTATTTACAGTGTGGGTTTGTAGTTTTAAGTACACACAATATGGTAGTGTTTTCCCCAAGAAACATTCATACGCTTAAAATAAAAGGTTGTAATTGTGCGTTTTTTTTTTTTTTTTTGGTTGGTTCATGGCTTTGGACTCTTGGACTGAATATATTTTGGAAATAATAAATAAATAATGAATGAGAAAAGTACTTCTATATATGGCTTAAAAAGTTTTGCACTTTTGTTTTGTTTCTGTTGCACTCTGTTGTCTTTCCTACAGTATGAATATAAATGAATGACAAAGCAAATATATATTTACAAGTGGAACGAAATATGGCAGAAATGCTTATCTATAAAATGATCAAATTAATATATAATATAATATAATCTGCATCAGTGAGCAGGAAGCAAGCCTGTAGCAAATGATGTAAAATTAATACATTTCATGGTATGCTTTATGTAACAAAAACATTAGTTTGGTGCGCTCGACCTGATGCGCTCGCAGCCATCCGGACAGAGACGAGGAAGCAGGCAGATGCTGAGCAGGGATCATTCGAGAAAATGACAGGAAATTTAATAAAACTTTGTTTGGGGATAGTTCACATCAAAATGAAAATTGTCATTATTTACTCACCCTCAAGTTGTTCCAAACCTGTTTGAATTTCTTTTATCTGTTGAACCCAAAAGAAGATATTTTGAAGAAAGTTAACCAAAATGTTGCCGGTAGCCATTGACTTCCATAGTATGAAAAAAACAAATACTATGGAAGTCAATGGCTACTGGCAACCGTTTCATCTTGGGGTGAACTATTCCTTTATTATTATTATGTAGTTGGTATCTTCTTCTTTTTTTTTCCCATGGAGCTCAAATAGTATTCAAAACGGTTTAATATTCAAGTCATTTGAATTGGATCTTTTCAATTAATCATTTGATGCAGTTCACAAAACCTTCCTGAATGATTCACTGACGAATCAAACTGATCCGGTACTTGAGTTCAAAAGGGAGGGGGAGATTGTCAGTGAATAATAACTTTAATTTCTGTCTGTTTTTCACACAAAGTTATCATCTGACTTCAGAAGACTTTGAACATACAGCAGAAGATGAGTTGTGTAGACTGCTTTTATAATTGCTTTGTGATTTTTACATACTTACTGATGCTTGAACACTTTAGTCTCATTGTAATTGTATAGACAATAAATATTTAAAAATTATCTTTTGTATTCAGCAGACGAGAGAAAGACTTGCATATTTTTGGAATTACATTGTAAATGTGTTTTTCGGTTATGAACTATTCCTTTAATCCAAGCATTTGATTTTAGATATCATTCTAGGCATTTTACTGACAATAATTAAGGTCAGTTGGCAGTCATCTTGCCTCATGAAATAAAACAGTTCTATAATAAATTCATGTCAGTAGAGCTGTTTTCAAAGAGTTCATCGTCTCTGCTTCCTGACATTATAGAAATCTATTCAGACTCTTGTCTGGCTGAAACGGCACTGTAAGCACAAATATGCCATTTAATAGTGAGCTATGATGTTTCAGATGAGATGCGTTAACTTTTTGGCACGATAATGAGGTCACGCTTTTGTTATGATGACATGGGTGACAGTTTTTTATTCATCTGTAATTGCCTCTCAGAAGTGTTGGAAATAGACATAGCAGGGTGGAGTGGTATGTAGAAGTGGTGGGTGGAGGAAATGATCGGTTGATGGGAAGAATGACTGAGAAATCTAGGAAATTTGAGGACTTGTGTGAACCTCAGTGCTCTGTAAAGACTGTTCTGCATATCTGTGAAACAAGCACATATGCAGATTTCTTGAAAATCAAGAATACTACATGCCAAGTTAATTTATTTCCAACATGTAAAAGTAGGTTACAATTATATCTATGCACAATGCAACCATCACTGTTGCTATTAGGGGGTTCAAAATCTTTAACCTGAAGAATTAAACTCAAAGCACCTAAGCAACAGCACAGCAACACCCTGCAACTGCATCGCAATGTAATAAGAACCACTCAGAAAACCTTGCCATCTGCATAGCAACACCTTGGCAACTGTTAAGAACCACTCAGAATACCTTAGCAACAGCATAGCAACGCCCTGGAAAGTTCATAGCAATGTGGTAAGAACCACTCGGAACACCTTAGCAACAGCACAGCAACATGCTATAAATCACTCAGCAACAGCATACTAGCGTCAACCTGGCATGCACATGACAACATGCTAAGGTGTTCTAAGAACCACTTATAACACCTTAGCAACAGCATAGCAACACCCTGGCAGCTGCACTAACCTTTGCTCAAGTACCAATCACATTTTTTGTTAGAAAATCTAGCATAGCAACACCCTGGCAACTGCATAGCAATATGCTATAATCACTTTGAACACTTTAGCAACAGCATAGCAACACCCTGGCAACTGACTAGCAATATGCTATAATCAATTTGAACATTTTAGCAGCATAGCAATACCCTGGCATTGGCACTGACTTTTGTTCAAGTACCAATCACCTTTTTATTAGAAAATGTAAAAATCTAACATAACAACACCCTGGCAACCGACTAGCAACATGCTATAATTACTCCAAACACTTTAGCAACAGCATAGCAACATCCTGGCAACTGCACTGACTTTTGCTCAAGTACCTATTAAATTTGTGTTAGAAAATGTAAAAATCTAGCATAGAAACACCCTGGCAACTGCATAGCAAGCATCTTTAGAAGATTTAGAAATCTAGATGTTCCTTCCTTCCTTCTCTCTCTATCTTTCATCCCCATGTATTCATCCTTCCTCTGGTCATGTATCTGTGGTCTGATCTGGGCTCTGTTGAGGATGGGTCCGTGGAGCGCGGGCTCATGATGATTAAATGCGATCATGGCTAAGTTCCAGCGAGCCCCAGAGACCGAGAGTCTGTTTCCATCAAGCCGCGCTGCTCTGCTATCAGCTGGTGTCATCTGCTGATGACCTTGTCAGAAAGCTTGTTGAAGAGAGCCTGAATAGGTCAATTATTTTCAGCACTCCGAGCAATTTAGTTTACTAAGCCGTACGCTTCCACATCACTACATGCCAAGAAGCAATGTCCCAGTTTTAGGGAAAAATATATATATATATTTATGTGAAATATGCCCTCACCAGTGAAACTAAACATTCCCTGTGGGTGCAGTTCCCTTTTGAGCGGCTCACGCAAAACAACATCAACAAGAAAAGTAGGTGTGTGTGGAAAGAAACGCAGCCAGCGGTGCTTTACTTTGATTTAGAGTTCCAATAATGTTTGTGGAAGCCTATTTTTATTTTTATGTTTTTAAATGAAGGTTGTATATTTATTTATTTACTTATTTATTCACATCTTTTTGTTCTTAATCCAGACTGTTGATTGCTAGCTGGAGACCTTTTTTAATTTATCCCAAAAAAAGACCCTGAATTAATTGAACATTTGTTCATAAATTAACTGCAGAATACTTTATTATAATCATTTCATCTGGAATTTTTCTCCCAATAAACCCACATATCATTAGCCTGTTAATCTGGATGACTAGATGAGTAGATGTTCTCAGTGGGCTAATCCTGCTCTCATATTCTTGATCCTCCTCATTCACAGTGTGTTTGAGTAGCTTGCCTCCCACCCCACCCTCTTCAAGCACATATTACCCCATCTGCGTGTGTGTGTGTGTGTGTGATTGTT